TGCCATATCCTGCCTTTTAAGAAAGGCCACAGTGCTTCACTGCATTAAGCTGGGAGGTAGGACACATACACAGTTCCTGGGATCACATTGCCTGTGTTTCAGAGGTGGTGGCCTTTCATGTGCTGGGTGAACAATTTTATCCCTGTGCTGAGGTGGGAGCACGGTGTGCTGGTAGCATTCTGAAGACATCAACGAGAAGGCTCAAAAGATTCCCCCGTTCAGAGTTTTAAGGCACATTATACACCCAACACTTCAAGAAAACACAGATCTTAAGGCACAATATACACAAATGAACTAGTAGACATTAAGCAGTTGCCAGCTGTACCTATGGCATTCATCTCTCCAGTCAAGAAAGAGTAAGAAATACTTAAGCTGATCCTCTTCAGGCCCTGATCTGCCATTGAAAAAAGAATATCCAGCTTTCTGTGGCAACAAGCTGTTTATTAGTAGCTCCGATTTCCTGTTTCCCTTCATCCTTAAAATGTTGTGAAACACAAACAACACAGCATAGCTTGGTTTTAAGCAGTTTTTCAAACAGTATCCAGCTTCGGTTACCTCTTTGCTGACAAAAGAAGGGGTTGGATAAATGACACTGTCACATCAGGTTTCTAGCACCATTTCATGTGCATTTGTAAGAGAAGCTAGTGTGAAACACCCTACTTCCCTAAAACAACAGTCTAGGAAGAACAGAAATCCACCAGGGAACAACCCTTTCCAAACTCCCCTTGCCAACACCCCTGGTGTAGGATGCTCCACCTCTCTTTGATCCTGGAGTTCCTGCTTGGCCTCTGCCAGACACCTCTCAGGTCTAGGTCTTGCATGCTCTCCCCATGCATCCATTCTGGCCACTGAGCTGCTCTTGTCGGGCAACGTATGGTGACGAGGCATTTGCAGATCATTATCTGAATCCTCATCAACACTGCCCAACATGTGGCTGGGACTCACATACACCTTCTATGTCAGCCCCGCTCGTAGCTGGGTCGTCAACTTCTTCCATCAAAAAGCCGTCACCTTGTGGAGGTCCAGACAAAGGACAGGCTGATATCCAAACAACTTGCTACTCACTTTCGCGGTCTGCAAAAATAAGGAACAGAGACTAGCCAAAGTTCAGGGTCTGTTATGCATAGCACAGTGTGCGGGTGTTACCAAGTGCAGAACACTGCACCTCGTGTGCTTGGCGTGTAACTTGGTACCCTGGAACATCAGGAATGGTGTAGGTGAGAGAATGCTTGATCGGTGTGCTGTGTGCATAGACTCCCTATCTGGCTGATTAGTCCTGGTTGCTGTTGTAAAGCTGTAATAGACTGTGCTGTCGCTGAATAAACAGATTTCATACTCGCTTTCAGAGTCTGTGCTTTCATCGGTCACATCACCTGACATCCATTCGGAGAGCGTGGCCCTTACCATGACAGGACTCAGCCAGCACCTCTGACTTTCCGTGGAAAGTCTTCACTTGTGCTAGGCTTGGTCTAGAGGCTTCTCCGGTGCCTTCCAGTCAGCTTTCTCTAATACTGCTCCCCTCCTTACTCAAGAGCCTTTTACATACAACTTCCCTCAGGTCAGGCACATTTGTCTGAGTTCAGTTGAGCACCTACAGAATCTACCTGCCTCAACACCAGTTCGAGTTCTCCCACACTCTCATTTTCTTGAGAAATACTGGCATTTGTGCTTTCAACATTATGTTCTTCTAGGCTTTCCCCAAGTCTAACTTCCTCCTGTTTGGACAAGGCTCTTGTTCAATGAGGTGTCTCTGGTAGGACAAAAACCCTAAGGAGACACTGCATGAGCCCTCATCTCTGAATAGCACTGCCCGATGGACATACTTTTGTGGAACATGTTGCCAGATAGTCCACATTCTTTACTTGAAGGACAGCGGTGAAGGTGGCAGGAGCTGGAGGGAGGTGGGACAGGCCCGGGAGCCCTGGCCATCCACCCCGCTCCCACCGCGTGTCCTAGCCACAGCAGGGCCTCATGTGAGGCAACTCCAACCACCCGCAACCATCATGGTTCCTGCCACAGCCGGGATGAGAGGGGCGGCCTGGTCCTGAGTCGCTGCCACGGGGCACCTCAGCCCTTCGCATGCAAGATTGCGTGTGTGTGTGCGCGCACGTGTGTGTTAGAGTGTTGGTGTTTCTGTTGCTTAACCTGAGGTCTTGGCGGAATTTGGTACAAAAAGCCGTGGGCACATTAGGCAGCCCAGAGGCTGCATTTTGGCATGCGATGTTCCACAAAAACCAAAACCTAGTTTCTTTACCTTTTTGGTGCTGCTGTCTGTCCCCTAACAAACAGGCACTGAATCTTTCCACCCAGCCTCAACAACCTTCCATGGACCATCCAAAATCCCCGCAAGCTTGAGGGAACAAACTGTGCTGGGTGTTAAAAATCATGCCCTCAAATAAAATACTAGTGGTATGCCATGTTACAATTATCCTTATGTCCACTTTCTACTAATTTTGTACCTTTTTGTTGGGCATAACACTGCTTGCAAGAGGCACCAACAACCTTCTCTGTCCCCTTGCAAGCATCTCTAAAATTATCTGATTAATATAATTAAACTCAACTTACGTTTTTTGTTTTTCAACCAAACCTCAGTTGGTCTGACCAAAAGATGGTCACTTTCCTTATAAGCTCTCCATAATTACGGCTAACGCTTCTTTTTCATTTGGCCGAAAAGCAATTTGTGGTCTCCAGAAATGCTAGTAAGGTCATGTAGCCACTATTCACTTTGCCTGTCACAGATTCCAATTAAATGAACTGTTCTTTGATTAAAAAACAATAAAAACAAACAAACAACCTTTTCTATTGCTATCCAAGTGTCAGTCATTATTACTTACAATTTTTTTTTCATGCTTATACTTGTATTAAGACAAAATAACATCTTCCTATTTTTTCTTGTTACTGCTTTTCATGGTACCTCCCAGGTCATCTCAACAATCTCAGGAACATTTTGAGATATTTCTTTAGATTTTTTTCTGTTTATAAATGTCTAAATTCCATTCCACACTGATTCCTGAGAGCAGAAATTGGACTGCTGAGGGGAAAAAAATAAAAAAAAAATTGTTAAAAAGGTGGCCAACAAGCCTGCTGTGCTAAGTGAGCTTTTTTAAAAGTTTGTTAAATGTCAACGGCCAAACTTTGAAGAGGGAGCCACCAAGCAGCATGAGCCATATTGGAGGACTGTTTTTAAAACTTTAGTGCACCCTGCTAGTAGACAGACCTTTTATACATTCTAAGTAGTTTGCAACATTAGCTTGCATCATAACTAATAGCATCATAAAAATCACAGCTTGAAAAACACTCTGTAATTTTGAAACAAATGTCAGATATATGGTCATTACAAAAAATTTTGTTCAGTTGCATGATTCTGAAATAGTTTTATAAGGAAAACTTAATAACATGACAAGCTCGAGAATCATGTTGGTTTTATGATTCAGTTTTCATTTTTATTTGGATCTATCCCACTTATATGAAAGGGGTTCACAAGAATCTGGTGAAACATTATTCTTACTTCTGGTAAGAGTTGTTTTGGAAAAAGGTGAAAAGCTTGCAATTAATTCTTCCTAGGGCTGTTCCCTCTTAGCTCTTTAAATGCCTTAAGAGTCATATTGGATCACACAATCCAGTATTACTCAGTTAGTCTACATGTTGGGAATCTCATGTGCTGGGATTTTTGTTGAATGTTTCGATTTTCTGGTAGCAAGAATTGAGGAAGCTCTACGACTACAATGGCTACACTAACAGAACTCTGTAGTAAACAACTTTCTAAAAAGCTACTAAAAATCTTAACCTTTAGAAAGGATGTAGTGATTCTTTACCTGTGCTCCAGAAAAAGTTCTGTAGTAGGCTGGTAACTCTGAGTTAGAAACTCCTTATCTGACTGTCATGGTTTAATATTGAAATCACAGTTTTCCCTGTGCCATAAAATGTCCAGCTTCAACAGGGTGATTTAGAGGACGTGAACTAGAAGAAGATGTCACGACATGCCACATCAGGTTTTAGCAAAGTTTTGTACATGTGAACACTTTGAAAACCCCCAAAGTAACCCTTTATCTTCAGAATACACACCATTAAGAACAACTAATCAAGACCCTGATAGTTTTTTCTGAACAAGTACACAACAGAACGCAAAAAGTTAACAGCACAGACAATGACCTATGGGATCACCAAACTACAACTGTCTCCTATTTAATGAGTAGGCCTAGGGAGATCTGCTACTTACAAGGAGGTTTCTGAACAGGGAAGGCATTTTCTTTTCCAAGTCCAAGAGGCATCCAAACAGAAATCGACAAAGCTTCAAGTTTTGCACTGTCAAGATGGCAGTTCTCTGGGAAGCAGCTCTGGTACAAGCAGAAGTACTAACTCTCTGGATTGCAAAGGTCCTGACACCTGCCTTGCTTTGAGAAATACTCCTGAAGGGTAGCAATTTGCAACAGGAAAGCATCCTATACAAGTCCAAAAGAATGATTCCTTTCAGATCAAATGTCAGGATCCTGCTGGCTTCAAGCACAGTCCAACACAGGGGCAGTGCTACTTCAAGTACTTCAGAATTGCCACTGCAGGTGCTGCTCATTTCCCACTTGTGATGTGCCAGCTTTTAAGTTCTTAAAAGCATTCACTGTCCACAGAGAGGAGGCTACAGACAAAAACCACAGCATTCCAGAAAGCACCTTCTTCTTTGTATTGCCCCCGTCTCCATGGCAGTACTGTCAAAGAGTAGCAGACCAGGATAAGAAATCAGAAAAAAAATAATATTCAAACTTACTATTTCAAAGCCAAAAAGATACTTTTCAAGAACATGGAGATCAGGATTTACTATTCTGCACAGATTTTGCTCTGTCCTGTTGGTATCTCAAGTATTTAAAAGAAAACACAAAACATGTGGTTTTGGTCAGTAAAGTGTCCATTTAATAAACTCCTTAGCCACACTTCCCACCCCTTTCTCCCACCCTAAAATTTCAATTCACACTTAAGCAGATAACATATAATTCGATGGTGTACAACAGAAGTTTTTAAGCTGCACTCTTAATACTAAGAGTATCAGGGCTAGTATTTGACAAAATTACCTAGAACTCAGATGTGCCCATGCAAAAAAGCAATTTTTTATATACAGTCCCTATTTTTTTCTTATAAATTTAAATATTTTACAAAAATGTACTTTCAAAATGTATAAAGTTTAGTGAATACTCCAAATGTATCTTAAAATAAAATGTTATCTGATTTCAAAGGTTATTTCAACAATGAAGTCTAAATTGCACCAGATAAAAGGCACTTGTGCTGTGATGTCTTGAGCAAATATATGTTATTTTATAATACAGTAATACAGTGTCTTCTTGAATTCATGCAGTTGTCTCTGAGCGTCAAGCATCATTAAAGCAGCCAAGAGATCGTGAGTAAACTTGATTCCACAGTTGTAAAAACATTTTCTATCGCTAAGTCGAACATTGCATTGTGCTCCAGCTCTGACTCTAGAATCATACGCTACAGAAAAATTGCTGTCATTCACATGGGAATTCAAACTACATTTCATTCTCTCATAAGTTACAAAAAGAAGTATGCAATTTAATTACGAAACTAAAACACCAATGAACAGCTCAGTGTTCAAATAGTCTGTGCCAATGAAAGTCTGTATTTAAAAACAAGCTAGGGGCTAGTTATTCAAGGAGCAGTGCATCATATTTTCAATTCCCACTTCACTGTTGAGATAAAAGCGCAGTCCTATTTGCCTTCATCTTCTCCAGCCTTTTCATTAAGTGGCTATTGGTCATCTCCATCTCTTCTATCTTATCCAGTGCTGTTCTCAACTATAAAATGAAAGCAAAAAAGTTATGATCACTAAGTTGACTTGGACTTTCCGTTGTTCTTCAGCTCTGACAGAGGAAATTAAATCAGGAATACAAGTACTATATGCTTTAAAAGAGTGCCACATAAGTTAAGACACAACACTTTCACTATTGCAGTCAGATGAACTGGAATTCAACCGTTAAAACAAAATGGGGAAGCAATTTAAACCTGAAACATGTACTCATTCCAAAAGAACCAGGTGTCTGCAACTTCCTATTACATGGTAAATACAACTTTAGATCCTTCATTTCAAGGAAATACTGCATTGAATTGTAATTAGTATTACTTTTATGTGCTACAGTTGTCTTCTGAATGCAACTGATAGACTTGGAGGTCTCCTAAAAAACACTTAAAAGCTGTAACTGAAGATTACAAAAACCATACCTTGGAGGCAAAAGACATAGCAGTTCAAGACTGAAAGGAGCACACAGCTGAAAGGGAAATCAAGTCCGTTACCTCTCGCTGAAGCTTCCTCTTTTCAGCTTTGAGTTCATCTTCTACTTTTTCTGCATTTTCTGCTGCATTTTTATACCTTGCAACCTGCCCCTCAAGTCGTCCAATCTGCAAACCCAAACAAGACAAAAAGAAACGATTACTCAGGTCCTCCACCCTGAGCTCACCTGCCACTAGCTCTTCTTCCCTTTACGAAAAGCCACCGTAACACAAGGCATCCTGTGAATTAGCCATAGTATCTCCCTCTGGAAAGAGGACGTTTAACTGTGTTACCAGCAGCCATAATTGCTAAGAGTGTTTAAAAGAACAAATAAAACTGTAAAATAAATTGCAGGCAGAAACTTGGAATACTCTTCACTGCCTGTCCCTCCCTGGCAAGGGTCACAGGAGGCAGTAGAGAATGCAACATAGCATACAACACAGCTGAGAGATACAGAAGGTTAAAGAACTAAGCAGAGAGAGGGAAGAGTTGGAAAAAGAAAAATCAAGAACTGGAAAACATATGAGATTAAAAACAAAGCTGGAAAGTTGAAGAGCAGAGACCATATGAAAAAATGCAAAGTAGAAAGGAGACTGTAACTGTTATCAGGACATGATGCAAGAGGTCTTGAGCTCACGCACAGAGTTCAGCAGTAAAGAAGGGCTCAAGACAAATCCTGCTTACAATCTGTAGGTGTTAAAGCCCACTTGCTGGATTGTTGTATTTAATAGCTCCCTGCTACTCCCAAATGCATAGGACGGGCTAGTAGCCTGTTGCTGTGCAATAGAGAACAACTATGCATCTCTGATTCAAATTATAATCCTTTATGTGATTTGTAGGTGGTCTACAGAGATGCTGAACGTTACTGACTGAGAATCATGAAGTGTGAGTAAATCAGTGTGAGACGTGTATATATAAAAACAAATTCTTGAATTTCACAGAGTAAATTATGTACCTTCCACACTCCATACAACTTACAAGTAATTAAGCTACATAAACTGATTTTCTTGAACTAGGAGCTTCAGTTCCACTTTATATTCTGCCGTACATTCACATCTCAGTAAGTTAGCTCCAGATTATTTTCTCTTATGGTTAGACTATGCACAGGTATTGAATTGCAGGAAATATGAAAGGGGCCAAATGTAGTGTCACTCTGTGCAAACTAAAGAACAAAGAGTAAATCAAATAAAGAAATATGTTTTCATAACTTTTGCTGAAAAATGTGTTGTACAAGTGTGCAGAGTAATGGTAGGAATAAATATGAAGACACACTTACATTTTGTTCCAAGGTAGTTATATCTTGTTCAGCTTTTGAAAGCTTAAATTTGTATTCACTAATTTGTCTGTTGGCATCTCCTAGACAAAAATTGACATGAATATATTACTCAAAGCAACACTTCAAACTGGCAGTTTCCCTTTTAATTAAAATTCATTAAAAAGACCATTTTATTGAGAAGCCCATATACAGGATTTATGAAGATGTAAGTGTTCTTTCAGAAATCTTTTCTGAGAGTATGAAAAGGAAATAATTTTCCTGTTATTTAGAGAACACAAGTGCTGTCTCTGTAAGAGTGTGCATTAAATCTCGGATGTATAACTGCGATACACACCTTTTAAAACACACCTATTTAGATCACAGTCACCTCTCCAAACAGAGAATCAACGCAATAACCAACACACACTGCAAAACAGGCCTAATCACAATGGACATAATACCAGCAGCATTTAGCATAGACATCTGTAATAACATTTGAATGATAAGGAGCACAAGGCTTGAATCTGCCTGACAAACTCCAAGGAGCTTTGCGCATTATTCTGGTGTTTCACTTTATCCCTGACGTTGCCAGTGCTCTGTTCATGTTCATTGCCACAGCATATTAAATGACAATCTGTCAAACAAGTAAAGTTTTTAGCTGAAGAAATCGCTTGCTTGAACTGGAAAGTAGCTTAGTGCTTCTATGAAGCAACACTGAATATTGTGTTAAAGTAATAATTTTTCATGTTTTGCTTCAGAGAATAGTAGTCTTTTAGATTGTTTCTGTATCATTCAACAAAATAAAATAGAACATATTAACAAAAAATCTCAGCTGAAATTCTATCATCTAAAAACTGAAATTGTTCAAGTAGTGACACTCATTCTAGGCAAGGTCATCAACTGAAAAATAACTTCCCAGAATGTTGTTACTCAACACTGAAAGAGGCAGATTTTTAAGTTATTCTGCAGTGAGAAATTTCCTGCAAGGACATATACCAACAAAAAAACTAGCTGCTCAACAATATATTCATTCACAATACTACTACTACTACACAAGATAGGAAAAGGAGTTGCAAGAGTCTGCTTCCTCCCCCCAGTAAGAATACCTTTGAACAGTAACCGTATACCTACTCTGCATTTCAATTAGTTGCAAGTCAGAACCGTTCTCTAAGCCTATGATATCTGGATTCATCCCATCACTTTTAGAGTATTTCTGTCTTTCTTCTTCCAACTGCATCTTCAGTTTCCTAACCTGAAAAAGAAGTGTTCTTTTGTGAAAAAGAGACTCACAGAAGCTCAGTGCTTGTGTATCTAAATGTTCAAAGTCCTGAGATGCCGCTGGCTGAGATGGATCTGTTGGGAGGAGTAGCATAGCTATGCAGGGAAGCCAGTCCCTGAGGCCTGTGGCTGCAGTGCCCCATCCCCAGTGCTGGGTGAGTGCCCTCTGCACCTGAATGCACAACCCAAACCCACTAGTTCGGTCAGTGCTGCTGGGATCTCTGCGCAACGCAGGGGCACCCAGTAACTCTAACAGAGCTGCCTTTCCAGAGGAGGTGGCAGCATTAAACTCTGTTTATGCATTTGTTCTACAGTATACCTTTCATACTCTAAACATGGGTGAAGGTAACGAACAACATCCTGGTGAGTTTACAGAAAGAATAATCCAGATTTTTTTGGGGGTCCTCTCTTTTACTCTACCCGGAAGCAACGGTCCTAGGCAAGTCTGTAGTGCACATTACTCTTAAAGGGTTCCATTTTATGCTACTGCAGCTGTGTCAGGATTTTTCCAGTAGCCAGGGAAAACAGATTCCTCAGCTATGTCCTCTGTCTGGAGTTTATGAAAGAAGTGGGAGCTACTTTTTTTGACTGTCTTATCAAAATATTGCCTACAGATTAGTGGTATGGGAGTTATATTTGCAAAACTCCCTTTCATGATATAAATCATATTTTAAGAGTGATTTTTACAATTGCGATAAACATGCATATATATCTTTATAT